TTAATAACCTTATTAAAAATAAAAGAATGAAGCAGAGATACTAACTTGTCAAGCAGAAATGGCTAACTCTGCATCCGTGAACTCCCTCCTCCTCCTCTTCATCCTGTGAAATCCACCTCGTTTTTTTCTGGGCTCAATCTAATTCTTTCTTTTCAACTTGGATTTCTTCCTGGGTCTTCTTCTGTTTCCCTGTGTTGGGTTTCAGAACAGTCACCAATCGGGTAATTGGAAGTTTTACAGGAACATTTGATCCTAGAAAGGTGCAAGTTAGTTTATCCTCCGCCACAGCTGCTTTTGAAACGAGAACGTGCGCGAATGCGCGCTGCGGGCAGTGATGTGGGGAATGGGCGTCAGAAGCTCATTCACGAACAAACTTCTGTTTTCATTGGCTGTTCATATTCGGGTAAGCCTGAATTTTTCTAAAGCCTGTAGTACCACCGGGAAAAGCAAGAGGACTTTTTTCCCCCCATAGCTTACCTGTCTAATATCAATCTGTCRGGAGATAGTGACAGAGTGAACAAATATGTTAAAAATATATTTTTAGAAAAGTTACATACTGCATTTTTAAATTATAACATATCAGGTAATCTCGTTGCCACTCGGCAGTGCCTTACAATTTATCCTTGCCAGAGAGAAGTGAAATGACATAGGCTACTTTGGATCTTTCACATGGAAAAGAGGATGGCTGTAATTGAAACTGGATTTCAACTTGGGTAAGAAAAGGACAGCATTGATCAGGCTCACCTTTAAATAGTTCAGGAGGGGTCAGACGTGGCTCAGACACAGGCAGATGAGATGAACTGGGTAGCTGAGAAGATGGACCAACTTGCTGAACAGGAGGGAGAGACAAATATTTAATGGCTTGGCACATCTCATTAACATTTACTTGTAATTTGCCAATAGCTCACTCAAAACCAGTCTTCCATTCTCGTGTCGGTGATGAACTCATATTGGCCAGATTATCTATTATGAAAACCAGTGAGTTCAAAGTGACAACCATATCACGAGAAAGGTTTAACTCTTTAACAGACTGGGATTCTCTGTAGGAGATCAAAGGARCGATGTCATCAATTCCGCGACGTCCATTGGAGAAGACGTCACCCCAGTAAACTGGGAGGACAAGTAAATTAGTATCTTTGTCATCCAGAGAAGCAATAAAAATACAAGAATAGGCAATGATAAATAAACAAAGCCAGGAAGTGGACCAACCTTTAAATCCAGGAATGTGGACAAGGAACGAAAACCGTGGGTCCCATACGGCGGAGCTTCCAGAGAGGGGTGAGGCGAGAGGCAAAGATCCAGAGTCCATAGCGTGAGTTCGAAGCCGTGGGTCAGAGGCGGCAGAGGTACCAGAGAGGGGCGAAGCAAGGGGCGAAGATCCAGAATTCAGAGCGTGGGTTCGGTGCCATGGGTCAGAGGTGGCGGAGGTACCAGAGAGGGGTGAAGCAAGGGGCGAAGATCCAGAGTCCAAAAACGAGGACGAGTGAACAAAGACAAAACAAGGCATGGAGGTACGCTGGAGAATCTACTAAGAGAACTGTTCAATAATCTGGCGTAGGACATGATCAGAAACTGTGCTTAAATACAAGCAAACACAGGTGAGTGAAATCATCATAATTACCTAATGGGAGAAACATGGAGAGAAACTGACAGRACAGAGCGTGAATCATGACAGTTTCCATTAAGTAAGAAATGCTATTAAAGTCACAAGTGAATACGTTTGTTCTCGCGATAATTCGTTACAAACAATGGATGTAAACGCCATGGCACTAGCGCTCATCGTCAGAGGAGACGTTGGCGTATTTTAGCGAGGCTTTCTAACGACAAGCCCCTTAAACTTGGGAGCGGCCATGTATGCTGCATTTTTGGGAAATTGTAGTCGGTGAGTTTACTACTTTTTTTACAACTTTGTTGATTTTACTACTACTTCGACTTCCTGTTGTCTTCTTCGTCGTCTTTTTGGCCAGTAGAGACATCCGGTTGTTGATCAAGTGACTCACATGATGCGAAAAAAGTGTTTCCATTGTAGTTTTGTGAAACACACCAATTTTGATACGGCCGAAAAACCACCTCATCCTAGTGCAAAAACATTTTGTCGAAAAAAATGAAGTTTTTTCGTAATTGGCGTGTTTCCATTGAGCAAATTTATTTTCAAAATTCTAATTTGCGCATTTTCATGGTCAATGGAAATGCAGCTTCTGTTAACAAAATAGGTTATGAACCATCAGTTAGAGAATGAAACTTTCAGAAATCTTGTTGAATAGAAATCTTTAACAGAACTGGAGTCAATGCTGTTTAAAATGGCTGCTACATGTACTCATTAGCAAACAGATAAAATAGACTGAGYTGAAATCTAAAAATTTGGTACTAGCTGCAGAGGTATCAAGTAATGCAGTACAAGGACTTTGTAACTTTACTTAAGTACATTTCTACTCTTTACATTTAAAAAAATGCTAAAATAATTTAATTTCTATTTCACATCAGCTTCTTTTCATTCATGCTTGTCATCATTCACAAAAAAAATCACTATCCACAAGATGTCTCCTGGATAGAGCTATAGTTTTTCTACAAAATACCACAGAAGAGAACAAAGGCTGAAATTAATCATGTATACAGTACATACATGTATGTACTGATCAGAAGTATGTAAAGTACTTAAGAAATAAGTACTATAAGTAAGAAATAAGTAAGTAAAAGTAAATAAGTAAGAAATAAGGAAGTAAAAATATAATATCTTAACAGAAAATTACTTTGGTAAAAAATTAATTTCACTGATAAGAAAAGTACTTCAGTAAAAGTCATAAAACTGCTCACAATAAACAGGAAAGTAAACGACAAAATACTTTCACACACATTCTAAGAAATTAAGTTTGAAAATAACTGAACCAAACTGATTCCATCAAATCGAGATGAGTAAATTGAATAATTTCCACATTTTCTTCAAAGAAAAATTAGTTAACAACTTAAACAACTCATCATGATGAGTTCAGTCAGAATTAAATTTCTAACATGTAACTAGGGGTTGCATTTTAGAGAAATCATTTTTAGGTTTTAGATGTAACGAAATAAAAGTAAATGTCAATTTAAAAAAAGTACTTGGTAAAATTACAAGTCCTCAAAAAATGACTCAAGTACTGTCAGAAAGTAAATGTATTTGTTAACGTGTACTACATGGTAGTGCTGCAACTATACATGTATCTGTATGGAGCCATTCAATACAGAGATACAGGTTCAATACACACTATGTATCCAACAATACAGATTTTTTACAATTTATTTTATCAGCTTATTTGAAGATGTTCTTTGTTGAAGGATCAGTGGATCTGTGCTCATCTACTCCACCTAGGCTGCATTGTGGAGCACAGATCCACTGGGAAACTTGCTGTTTCAGCAACATTTGATTTAAAAACTGAACTTTTGAGGTTAAACAAATGTTCATAATTAATTTCAATAAATTACTAGTTAAGAAGGGCATGGAAAACTATATTTTTGTTTTAAAATTATTGAACCGTGACACTAAAGTATTGAACTGAATCGTGAAAGTTCTTTAACGTTGCATCCCTAGTAGCTGGCTCTTTTCAT